TTCTTTCTCTTTTTTTTTTTTAAGTATACCTCTTTTATTATTTTTTTTAAATCTTAAAACATTTATAATTTTTTTATTTTTAAAATTTTTAATTTTACATCTCTAACTTTCAAGTTACTATTTTTTATTTTCACACACCTCCTTCTTTTTATTTTTCAGTTTTCACATGCACTATCTTGTTTTCCTCCAATTTCTCACTTATTTTAGTGGTAGTTTTAGTTCTCTCGATTTTTATATTATTCTTTTATTTTCTCACTTTTTTTACTTTTTCACATGCACCAAAATCATAGAACTGATAGGCGACAACATTGTAGGTACGTGTAGCTTCTTCGACAATTTCTATCAAACTAGACACACATTTTTTTCCAACACTTCCTTTCCTTTCACCCCTCCAAAAACCTTAACATTAAATTTAATGTTATGAAAAAAAATATTTTCACTATTTTAGAGTACTATGTGAATAATGAAATCAGTGAGAAAACTGAAAGAAAAAAGAATAATGTAAAACTAAAAAAAATTAAAATTATCTATCAAAATAGGTGGAAGTAAAAAAAATTAAGGAGGTAAATGTGAAAATAAGAGAAAAAAATATATAAAAAATGTTAAATTAAATGTTAAAGAGTGTAAAATAAAAAAAATAGAAAAATAAAAATTAAAGATATTTTAAGAATTTAATTATTTTTTTAAAAATAAATGTACTTATAAAAAAAGGAAGTGTATATATTATGATCTAATTGAATATGGGAAGAGGAAGCCCAAATCCATGTTGGATTTGACAAGGCCTGTCACCGAATATGGGCCATATCATGTAGAGGTTGTAGCCCATATTATCTAAATTTGCAAGGCTCATAATATATACACTTTTTTATTTTATTTTATAAGTACACCTCTTTTCTAAAATTTTTTATAAAATATTATAATTTTTTTAAAAAAATTTAATTTTACACTTTCAACTTTCAATTTACTACTTTCTTCTTCTTATTCACACACTTTTTTTTTTCTCTTTTAATTTTCACATGCTACCAAAATAGGTAGGGTGAAGAAAAAATAAGGAAGTCCATATAAAAATTGAAAAAAAGAGGAAATATGCTATATATCAGTGTTACAAGATAATTTAAACAGGGTGTGCATCTGGTTGCACTTGCAACTTTGCATTTTGAGTTTTGAGATGGTATGTGTATTTATGATTGAGTAATAAATATATATTCCAAGGTACCAGTTATATCATAATGCATCAGAGTAAAATTTCAAGTACAACATTTTATATAATAACAATTTATGAGTTTATTTCTCTTTATCAAGTTATTTATTATATCTTAAACTTTGTTCATTTTTATTGCATAAATAATATCTCAATTTATGTGATAATTTTTTTGAGATTCCTAAAAGAAGGTACTACACAAATCTTCTCAACATGTTTGCATAATTCCTTTTTTTATTGCCAATAAGTAATTGAATGATAATGTGAAAAAACAAATCGATATTAAATTAATTATTTATCTATAAAAACTTTTAAAACGAAGCTTGCACAACTTAAACAAAATTGATGAAGGGCAATACTTGATTTTAGCTATAATTTTTAAACAAAATCCAAAATTTTACCTCGATTGTTAGAACTATTTGTACAAGACAATGAATAACTTAGACAATTATACAAGAATATGAAAGAAAAATATTTAAGAATACCAGATATTGGTATACAGGGGCATATCTAGTTGTAGTTACATGTTTATTTTTTTTTGAATAATTTTGATGTTATAATTATTTTTTTTATTAAAATTAACATTTTATCCTAGTTACTGGCATTTATATTTAGGGTGTATTTAGAAAGAAAAATAAAAGGAGTAGAAGAGAAGTGTAAAAAATTATTGAAAAATAAAGAAAAATTAAAAAGTAAAGTGTTTTTAATATAATTAAAGAAGATGAAAGTGTTAATATTTGAACTTGGGGTCTATCTTGTAAAACTTCTTTAAAATGAGGGAAAGTGTGTGGAATTTATTAATTTTTTTTTGTTGCAAAAATAGGGTTTATATATATATATAT